ACGATAATTTTATCATTATTATTATTATTGTTACTACTATAATAATATAATATAAAAAAAAGAAATCTAATCTATCCTACCCTTATCAAACCACGCGTAGCCCAACTTCCCCTCGCCTGCTCCTCTGCCCTCCTCGAGCCGCACGCGACAGAGGGCTCCATCCTCCCTCTCGCAAACTCCATTCTCCCTCTTGCGAACGGCTCCTTCCTCTCGAGTCGAATGCCGCACCCCAGCTACCCTCTCTCTCCCCTATGGCGATCCTTATCACCTGTTGCCCCCTTCTCGAGCTGCACGCGACAGAGAGCTCCACGGCTCCCTCGCGAAAAGCTCTCCCGATCTCCTCCCTCTTTGCCTATAAAAACCCCATCTGGGAGCGCTTTGGGGTTGGCCGAAATTTGGAAAAGTGGCGGAGGAATGGAGGAGCCTCTTGCGCTTTGGGCCCTTTTTGCGGCTCGGTTTGGCTCGACATTGGAGAGTTTGTAGGGCTGCTTCGTAGCCCTGTTTTGGGGATAAGTTGGGGCGGTCTTTCTCGACTGCCATTTTGGATGATTTATGCACATGCCTCTGCAATTTTATTCATCTATCTTTTACCATGTCTAATATGTGCTAGGAGGGTTATATACATACTATACAATTCCCGTGTGTTTACATTTCTAATGCACAATTGATAGCTAGGATTTGGTGCCTAAATGAGCCACGGTTTCACAATGCTTTGAGTTCGTTTTGAGGCCATGCTGGCTGCGGTTTTGGTGTTGATTTGGGCCCTATTTGTGGCATGTTGAGCCCAATTTTTGGGGGATTTGTGTGGTTGCGGTTCTAGCCTGTTGTAGGATTGGCTTTTGCTTTTGGGCTGGCCCTGTTTTAAGCCTGTTGTAGGCTCAGTTTTGCCTTTTGCTGGGCTCGGTCTTTGGACGCGATTGGGCCCAGTTTTGGCCTACTTTGAGGCTGCGGTTTGATCCTGTTGTGGGGTTTTGGACTGTAATTTTTGGGCTTGGTTCCGGCTTGGTTTTGGTCTACTTTTAGGCCGCGGCTTAGCCCTGTTTTGAGAAGTTTGGAGTTGCATTGGTGGGCATGTTTTACTGATTCTTAAGTTGCATTGAAAGATTTCTTTAATGATTTTTGGGCCTGGTTTGTTCTCTCTCTTCTCCCTACAGTTTTCATGTGAGAATTATTGACCCACCATATTGATGGTGGGAAGAAGTTTGAATATTTGGAATGTTGGGATGATAAAAACCTTAAAAAAGGCTTTTCGTGTCGTCTGATGTTGGAAATCGTTTTAAACGCAATTTTTGATGGTCGATTAATCCTTTACTATTTTCATATTTTAAATGGATCAAGTCCCCCCTCTCTCTCACCCTCATTTTTCTTTCTTTTGTTTACTTGTTTCTTGGTTGGATTTATATGCTTATGCTCGAAACATAAGTGCGCATATATGACATTTTGCTATATATGAACCATCAAACAAGACTGTAAGTTGGTCGGTTTCAGGGTTCAAGGACAATGATGAAAAAGACATCTTGGTATGTGTGAGAAGTTTTAGCACAATCCTGACTCAGTGACCTTGAGAAAATGAGGGATTGACATTACCACATCTCTAACACTTAGTAAAGAATTACCACTTGATTTTACAGACAATGAGAAGTTTCGGCCTACCAATATGACTGACTCATTAATCTTCTAAAGCATTAAAATTTCTTTAAGTGACATATATATCCACACATAATTAACTATAAAAAAATCTTTCAAGTGCATGATAAATCAAAATTATTTTTGAAAATGAAATCCTTCCTAAATCCTTTTCTGAAAATTTCACGAGTAAGTCATATGAATTAGGTTAAGAATCTTCTCTTTCTATGACTATTAGGTCGGTGACCTTTTATTTAGGGTTGGATCACACATGCATGGTGTTTAGTATTTTTTTAGGGCCCCAGGGTCTTGAGTTCGACCCAATGTCTTGATTCTGAGTCCACGTCGTCTAGAGTGCTTACGGTTTTCTTTGGTGTTTCGTGTATTTCCTACGATTTTCTTCGAGCTTATTTTGTAAGTCATTTGAGCTTTATTTGATAAGTTATGAAGTGAGAGCCCCATAGACAAAATAAATTTTTTTGAATTTTAATTCCTTAATTAAACTTTAGGATTGATCATAGGATAAATGAGTAATATTGATCACAATAAACTTTTAGATGATTGAAACACAATGGGTTAAAAGGTAGAAACCAATTTGCCACATTTTCATGATAAGGGTAAAATTGTAATTTTGCTGATCATCATAACATGGAAGTCAATTCAATAGGATGATCCTAAAATAATGGGCTTAAGTTATAGAGATAGTAATTCACTCACTTAAGGCCCACCAATTGGTGATTAGATGCTAAGTTTGATATTAATGAGGATTAAAATTTCATTTCAATATTTAATTATCTTAAATTTACATTGAAAATTAAAATTAAGAGGGCCTAATAGTGAATTAAGTTTGATCTGTAAGAATTGTTTTAATTGGGATTAGAAAATATGTATTAAATTAATTGATAAACACTTTCAAGAACTTTAAGCCCTACTTTAGCTCTGCGCATTAAAATCCTTAATGACTTTGGACTTGCCCTTTGGAGTACCCACTCATATAGTTGTTAAGTGAAATGTTAAGTAACTATCTAATTTCTTTTGAAATGTCAAGTTTCACTGAGTAATAGGGTAGTCCTAACTCAACATCGAGATGATTAATAGAACAATATGATAAGTTCAAAATGAACTCGAAACATTTCAAGAGGTTTTTAGAACGATTCAGGGTCATTTCCTGAACAATTTGGAATCTCTTAGATATTTTGAAGGACAAATTAAACTTGTTATATTTCATTTTAGAAAATCATCTATTAGGATCTTTTAGGACTCATGAGGTCATAGTTTGAGGTTTGTTAGATACAATTTTCATCAACTCTTGTAATTTATTTAATTTCCTGCAAAAATTATATACCTTCTGCAAGTTCTAACGTTTCAGCGGGAATGCGCCGAGAAAATGACGGGTACGCTTTTATAGTGTTATTTAATTGCTGTCATTTTATTTTCTGCAATTTACTTTTACTGCAAAATATTATAACTACTTGGTTGTGCACTTTTTTTACTTGCAAAAATCAAAACTATTTTTCAAAAATTAATCAACATTTTCAAAAATTTAAAACAATTTATTTCAAAGATAATCATAAATCCTTTGAAATATCACTAAACATAAAACATTCTTTTGAATTTATAGGAGTTCATCGGAGGAGGCAACCCACGGTTGCTAATGAGACCTCCCCGGTTTAAATGGGTTTTACAACTCGTTTAAGCTAAGTAAATTCAAAAGAAAATATTGATACCAGAACGAGGGAACCGTGAGATCATAACCAGTTTCGCTCTAATCAACTTTAACATCCCCCATGATATTTAAATAATCATAACCTTAGGAAACATTTGATTTGACATCAAGATTTGACACATTAAAAAACTTAAACTAGCTACGACGAGAAACTTTGAGCTAGTATCGTGGGCAGCAATGTCATCTTCAACAACAACACATGTCTACACCAACTAAACCATACCAACTAAACCATTTACTAAACCATTTCTTAGAATTAAACAACAAACCATAGGATTTTGAGGTTGTCCGCCTAGTGCGACATAAATCCTCAACTTTTCTTTAGGCCTTTGTAAAATCATGTCGTGCAATACAAGCTCTAACTCGCTTTAGGATTTTGAGGTCGTTGTCCGTCACGAACTAAATCCTCATATCTTTCAAGCTATTTGTGTGATTATTTCACACGAATGTAAGCTCTAATTAATAAAATTAGCAAGATGAAATATTTAAATATTTTTCCTCTAAATTGAAACCAAACCATATGATAACTTCGGAAACCACCGAGGTTCTCCTCAGGATCTGTGACATCCCCTAGTTTTTCTCTAGTTCTTCTACTTTTAGATTCCAAAATAAAATATTTCAAATTTGAGTCATCCTCTTTCACACCTCTTTGTTCGATCTTTTGAAAAGTCTTATCCCCTTGAACTCCTTGAAGACAATATTCTCTGATTTTTTATTGAGAGTTTTTTTAGGTGACTTTGGTTATCTAAGATGTAATTAACTATAAGAGTTTGCTTTTATAGGAAACTTTTAAGAACTCAGCTTAATATAAATATTATTTAATTCTTCGTATTAAATAGGAGAATTTTTCGGTTAATATAAAATGGTTTCGCAGACTTAAACGGATATTATACAATCGTTAGTTTATTTAATTGAGTCTTCACCAGTAAATACTGTATTTATCCATCGAGATAAGAGCACTGCTTGTGGTATTAGACTCGTTTATTTAAACTATTGAAAATATAAGATCGGTTCGGCCTTGTATTTTCAAAATTTAAAATACTATTTTTTTCCAAATTATACATATTGAGTTAAGTTAAAACGGGTGTTGGGATATCCATCCTAGCAGCCGACAAACTTCTCAACTTTTTAGTGCCAATAGTGGAAGGCCCTTCCGCTTCTTTCGGGGAGGGGGAGGAGGAAAGAAACTCATATTTATTGTTAGAGTTTTCCCGTTACGACACTCCTCTTCTTATTTGGATAGCTTGAGCACAGAGTTGGTTCGCTTGGGGCAATGGGAGAAGTGAGATTGGCTTCATCCCTCGCTGATAGCTCAATACATGTCAGAGCGACTGACAGATGGCACAGCTTAACTCCACTTGACTTGTCGTCCTATCAGCCTCTCGGTGTCGCGCACTTGAAGGATCTGCAACTTATAAAGAGCTTTTAGTAGGAATCACAGAAGCTCTTTTTTCTGTAAGAATTAGCTCTCCAATGGTAATCCATTAAAAACAACAGAAGACTTATAAATAAAATAAATCATTTCTGCACCTTCAAGATCTTGACTGACACATACCACTAGAGGTAGCTGCTTACCTGCTACATTGAGAGCCTTGGACAGAAGGTTTCAGCACGAGCGGCTTCTTTCGCGGGGGCGCCCCCCCCCCCGCCGCTCCCTCTCTCTTAGCCTCATCAGAGTCCACCTAATATACCTTCGTCATTTACTCAAATGCTTCCAATCGTAGCACCCAACCAACAATTACCAAATTAAGATATTGAGGGATCGAAGTTGTTGCCCTTTGACACCTGCTTCCACCAATACCCGATCCGGTACCTTTTTCTTCGACTTGGCGAGAGGGCCACTGAATCAAACATTTTAGATATTTCAGCCCAAGTGAGAAGAACCGATGAAGAACTGGAGGTTCCAGTCTTTTACCTTGTTTTCCAGCCATAGCAATTGAAACATTCCAAGAGAGGCAACTGAACATAACCTTTCGGACCACCCAGAATGATAACATATATAAGAAGAGCTTCGTTGACTAGGGATTCCTAACTGGCTGCACAAAATGATGAAGTTCAATATGGAAACAATAAAATCTTGTTTGCGCGGTTGGATTATTGCCTCGGTCAGGCAACAACTTTAGTCAGGTCTTAAGCGGATCTTGTCACTGTCGACATGGGGGTAACCATCGAAACTTACTAATGAAATTGTTTGTCCGTACTCTTCATAAAACTGTCATTTCTGGGCAGGGAACTACCTCCAGAACTTTAATTGTGTCTAGTTTAAAAACACAAGTTTTTTTATACTTGGTATTGAGAGTCGATTTTTATTTTAATGCTGATCAAATGCCCTATACCGATGTCCGTCGTTTTTATGTTTTAAGCGATCAAAATTTCTTGGCATCGTTGTCTTTCCACTCCAAATCTAAGTTCCCAGGTTGCCAAAATGTTTGAACTCCTCTAGCTCCCCGAGTCTCGACAAGTCCTGTTGAATTAAAATACTAAATATTATTGTACTCTTGTAAAGTAGAATAAGCTTGAAGAAAACAGTATGATTTTGCAACAAAAAACAATAATTTGAAAATGAGGTCGTAGACCACTATAGATATAATTTAAAGAGTAGGGGTTTTGATACCGCACTGAAGCATTAAGGGGAGGTCATTTGTGCTTCTTAAGAATTTAATAAAGTAAACTTTTATTGATTTAAAAGATTTTAGATATAGGAAACAAAATTCAAGAAATACCAGTTTTGAATTCCTCAGACGATGTAAATCCGGTCATTGACGAGAGCATAAGTTGCACATATTACCAAGACGAGCTGTAGAGAACAGAGGATAACCAAGAGGGGATGCACGAGGGAGAGCCCATGGTTCCCAATCACCCTGTAGAATTTCCTTCACTGTCCAAGAATCCAGATCTGGAAACTCGGACATGCGGTGAGGTGGCCGGTTGGATTTTCCCTGCATAGGAGGCCAGTTCCTAGAGAGGTAGTCGGCCGAGTGGGTGGCCGATCTGTGGCGAAGTAGCCAACCGAGTGGGTGGTCGATTGGTGGTGCGTTGCCGGCGTATCTGGGTGGACGGTCGGTGGAGAAGTAGCCGACTGAATGGGTGGCTAGTTGTTGGAGAGCTTGCCAGCAGATCTGGGTGGCCGCTGTATATTTGCGTACATAAGATGTACGCAGCGCTGAGTACATTCTGGGGGTACAGGGGAGTTATATTTGGGTTATACCGAAGGTTACAAGGGGGTATAACTCAGATATAACCCCATTGTACCCCTGAATAACCTCTGATGTACGCAGAGCTGCGTACATCTTATGTACGCAAATATTTTCCGACCAAGTGAGGGTGACCGGTTGGGATTTTGGTGGAGAGGTTGTCGGAAGATCTGGGTCCGGTTGCTGAGCAGTTTGTTCTAGGCTATGTAAGTTTCATTAGTGTGACTTTTGTTTGGGAGTGTTTCTATAGGAGTTTCTACTCTCAATGCATCTTTTAGAGTGTTAAATTCAAATTTATCAGTTAAAATATTTCCAATGAATAAAACTTATTTGACCGACCGAGAGTAAGAGAGAGAGAGAATAACGATAATTATTTTGGTAGAGGCCAAGAGGGTGTTTCTGGCTCTTACGACCTATTTTATTCTGTGAATGTAGTGATTACATTGAAAAGATGGGAGACCTAAAAGACTTCTAATACAAGAAAGGGTCCTCACATTTATAGAAAATAGAAAAAAAATATGTATATAATTACATAATTATGTTTGCTTTAAAGAGAGTTGTATAGAGTATTTTCGGAACCTTATTGCTTGTGAGCTTGTCGAACAAATGTCTAGAAATTCATAATGTCTTGTAGCTTTTTTTCATCTATCATTTTAACTGAAAGATTAGATTATCTTGAGAACCGTGTAGACCATTTTTTAGTATACATTAAAATATTTTTTTTCAAGAATACAAAACTATTCATGTTAGCAGTTCTGCAATAATTATTATGCAGTTTTAAATCACTCAAATTCAATATTTTTCTTATAACAAAAATATACAATTTTCTATTTTTAATATACATTTTTATTTTGTGTTTTGTGGGCTTGTTTATCTCAAACTCCTCGTTCAATATGTAACGAGCTCTACAATTTTTTAATTTGTTTTAAGAAAATTAAAAATATAAATAATAAATTACATATTATATTATAATTATTTCAAAATAAATTATAAAATTAAAAAATTCGTCAGGACCAAACATTGGTCAAATTCTCACCGAAACTTTTGAGTGCTAATGCATTATAATAAATATGAGAAGCTTATAAACAAAGTTAGAAGATGCGTATTGATATATATATATATGATATGCTATGCCTGAGTGTATTGACTCGTATAAAAGCCTCTGGTCATTCCATAAATTACAGTTTTGAATTTTAAGAATTCCTAAAAAAATTTTAATAATTACTTTAATTCAAATTTATTAATATAGGCATCAATATTTACCCAAGAACATGAAAATGCTCTTAAAAAACAAAAGGATTAAACAATTCGAAAAAAAATTTGAGTGTGTTGTCCGGACATAGCACAACGGCCTCGATGCATTAATCGCAATTGAGAAGGAAAATAAAAACCCCCGCGATCAGTACATCGCTGCTATTGTCCGGACACAGAAGTTTCTGAACAATGAACACAAAAATTTTTCCTCGAAGCCAAAGACGTACGAATATATCATACAACTTATTAATGTTTTCCATTCGAAAGAATAAACTTTAGGATACAAGAGGGGATGAGCCACAATGAAACCGTTCAATAACTCCTAATGAGAAACAAGCCAACCATAGTGATGATAAGAGTTGATGGGAGCCCAAACCGTAGATGGCCAAAAAATGAGAGATTATAACTAAATTGTGCTCTTCTGGCTTGCTCACAAACGATCAAGTTAGCTGCAGATCCCAGCAGCGAAAGATTTCCAGCCACAGTGCTCACCCAGGCTAATATGAGCCAAGCTCTCGTCTCTTCAGCCGGAGATATAGCTGCGGCTGAAGCTGCTACCCGAGCACCCAGAAGCAGAACTGAAAATAGCAACAAGTTTTTCGATGGATGCGTTCAGGTAAGTGAGACATACTTGTCATTATTTATTTTTTATTATTTGGTGATTTGAATAAAGTATTAGACGTAATAAATTTCATTTTGGGGTATTTACATACTTGGCGCGCAATTTTTATGCAATTACATATCTCACACGTAAACTTTCATATTTAGTCAAATAACACTTAAATCTTTAATATCGTGTAAAAATAGCACTATTATTACTTTTTAAAAATGAAATACACATTTTCGTACATATATAGGATTAAAGAACCAACTTATCAAAGAGCTATGTGTGTAAATATGAAAGTTTAGGTTTGAGATATGTAACTACATAAGAATTGTGTTCTAGGTAGGTAAAATTTCCTTTGATTTTAGGAAGATTAACATGCATTCCAATCAAATTCCAATGTATTTGCATATTTAACACCTAAAATTCAATTTTTACATATATGTTACCTTATCTATGCATGAGAAGTTATATTTCACTTTTTAAAAATTAAAATGAGGGTCATTTTCATGTGATATAAAAGATTCGAGCGGTATAAATGTACAATGCAAAGTTTAGATGTTAAATATATATGTAAATACATAGAAATTGAGTGGTATGTATGTAAATGCTCCATCTTAGTTTTATTATTGTTTAATATTACTCTTGTATTGCCTTTTGTGGTGCTAATCATATTTGTTTTTTGTGCTGTCACATATGTAGCATATTTGTTTTTTCTATTAAATTCTTTAAGAGGACCGGATTGGAAAAGGGGTTGGAAAACGAATACCTATCGAGCAGAGGAGTAGAGGAGAGCACGAGAGCAGTGTGAGAAGAATGCAAGGAACAATGGTTTCAGATCTACGGATAAGTTAAGAGGTCTTCTTGTCGATCTAGTCATAATGACTGAATAATAGATTCAGATTATTCATTTCACAAAACTCCAAATAAGCACTGATTTGGTTCATACAATGATGCAAGTGGTCAGGAGGTTATTATGAGAAATGATGTCGTTTAATTATTAGGAATAAAACTGTAAGAATTAAAATGAATGGATTAATCAGAACTCTTGCTAATGTCAGACATAAATCTCAAAACAAATTTGTTATCTCTTGCTACCATTGATGAGCTAGGTTGCATGTTCAATTCAAAAGGCGACAAGTTAGAAGTCATAAGAGGTTCAATCATTATAATGAAAAAGAAAAAAGAGAATGATTTATATTCATTATTTAAAAAACCTGTAACATTGTAAGTGGATGTTTCTTACACACACAAACAGATCATACAAAGCTTTAACATTTCAGCTAGGTCATATTAGTCAAAAATGGTTAGATGTTCTACATGAAAATGACTCTTTGGCAAAGATAATATTGAAAAGATTGATTTATGTGATTGTTGCGTTGCACATAGCATGGGAAGGCCCCATTCCTCTAGCAGCGAGAGAGATGGTGAAAATTCAGTGTGATACGTTAGGCAGGGTGGATAACGTTTCCTTCTTTTAAATAATATTTTTAATGTTAAAATTCTACATATTATTTAAAATAAACTATTTATGCGTTGATTACTTTTCAAACATTTCCTCACTTTTGTGCAATTTCTCGAATTTTGGGCATCTCGTTTTGTGTGTCATCACTTGGAACCTTGTAATATGAGTGTTATTTCTAAGTAATTTTGATGTCACAAATGTACTCACGCTATTCATTTTACAGTTGGAAGATGTTTGAGCAATTTTAAAGGCAATCCTAGCACTATGACTTTAATTCGTTTGAAATCTCTTTCAAGCCCATCATTTTCATCTTACTTGCTTCTTTTGATTATGAAAGATTCCTTTTTAAATATTTTTTTAGGTATGGCTCATATGGACAGATGCCGGAACGAAGCGGAGCGGGGCGAAAGAATCTGTCCAAATCGGGGAGTTTCGTTATGTGGGTTGGGGGTGCGGGGGAAACACCTCGTGGTACGGTACATGGGTAATTTGGGAATTACATTTTGTACTCTAAGATTTTATCTAGTGTTATATATAGACTTGTTTGTAACCATATGTTATCATATGTTGTATTTTATTCTGTACTCTTTTCTGAGATTGAAAGAAAACTAGCCGCTCTGCTCTCGAGAACGTAGACATCTTTGTCGAACCTCGTTAAATATTTGGGCTCTTCTGGATTTATGTCGATTTCTATTTTTCTTCGCCCTAATTTCTCAACAAGTGGTATCAGAGCAGGGTTCGAGGGCAGGGAAAAAAAATTTCAGCGGCACAGGAACAACAAAGATTTTTGGCGTGATTCTTGAATCGCGGTATTCTGCAGAGGAGGTTTGCGAATCACAAAATCGGCAGTTTTGGTTCGCGACACTGTTCTCCCTCTTCCGCAACGGGACAGACTCACGACTGAAGGAGTATTCGACGACGAGGCAATTCGCGAAGGAAGTTATGTGAACAAGCGCGCGAAGGTTTCACGAACAAGTGCGAGGGTTCTGCGGAGGAGGCGGTTTTGCAAACAGACGCGATCAATTTGCAAAGGAGATCAGAGGACATCCAGAGGAGTTCGGCACCTCCAGCGAAATTCTTCGGCGACGAATTGCAGGAGTTCCCCAAGGAGCTCTTATTTTTTGTGAAGAATTTTGTACAAGGAATTTCAGCTTCGACGAAGGAATTGTTTAAAGGAATTTACAGAAAAGGTTCGTTGTAGGACTAACTTTAAATGACAATTTCTGATACAAAATTTGAGATGGTAAAGTTCGATGAAACTGGTAACTTTGGGTTATGACAAACAAGGGTAAAATATTTGTTGGCACATCAGAAAATTTAGAAGATTTTGCGGGCAACGAAACCAGATGTCATGGATGATGAAGATTGTGAAGAAATGCAACAACGAGCGGCCGCAATCATACGTTTATTTCTGACAAATGAGGTTATGTATCACGTGATGAATCTAAAATCTTCAGGGGAGATATAGAAAAAATTAGAAACTCAGTTTCTGCCTAAATCTCTTACGAATAAATTGTATCTGAAGCAAAAATTATATGGGGCTGAAGATACAAGAATGTTCTGATCTGGCGCAGCATGTGAATGATTTCAATAAAATAATCACGAATTTATCACGGCTTGATGTGAGTATTGAGAATGAAGACCGAGCAATGATTATGTTGTGTTCTCCATCTTCTTCCTATGAACACCTGGAGACTACTCTGACATATGGGGAAAAAATAATTAAAATAATGAGATTGCTGAAGCATTGTTGACTCATAACCAGCGGAAGCAGAATATAGGGGAAAGCTCTCATGACGACAGTTTATATGTGAAGGGTAATCAGGATCGTGGAAGGAAGAAAGACAAGGAGGGTTCTGGAAGACAAAATTTCATATTAAAATCCAAAGGCAAAAAGACAATTCATTGCTACGAGTGCAAGGAATCAGGTCATATGAAGAGAGATTGTCCAGAGCTTAAGAAACAGACTGGGAAAAAAAGTGATGCATCATCGAAGTCTGTAAATGTGGTGCAAAGTGACAATTCAGATTGCAGTGATGGTGATATGTTTTCAGTTTCATCAACTCAGTTCAGGGATGCATGGATTCTTGATTCAGGATGCTCGTATCACATAACACCTAACAGTGAGTGATTTACTTCATACAGGTTAACTAATTCTGGCTCAGTCTATTTAGGTGATGATAGATGCTGCAATATTATTGGTATTGGTGAAGTCAGAATTCAGATGTATGATTACACTATTAGAACATTATGTGATGTCAAATATATTCCAGATCTGAAGAATAATATGATTTTCATGATCACTTTACATATAAATGGTTTTATTCCTAAGACAGACGAAGATAAAAAAACCATCAAAATTGTTAAAGTTGCACTAACTGTGATGAAAGAAAAGTTAACTGGTGATAATATTTACAAATTGTTGGGGAGCACAGTTGTAGGTAGGGTTCATTCTCTGGAGTCAGATTATGATAATACAAAGCTATGACATATGCGTCTGGGTTATCTTAGTGAACGTGAGATGGTAGAATTGCATAGAAAAAACTTGTTGCATGGTGTTAAAAACTGTAAGCTCGACCTTTGTTAGTTCCGTGTTCTTGAAAAATATACTAGTCAGTTTTATGATTGTAAAACATTAAACTGGAAGGATTCTTGATTATATGTATTTTGATGTATGGGGCTCTACCAGGGAATCGTCATTGAGAGAATCTCTGTATTTTGTTACATTTATAGATAATTTCTCCAAAAAATTTTGAGTGTATTTCTTAAAGCATAAATTTGAAGTATTCTCTAAATTCACGCTATGGAAAGCTGAGGTAGAGAGTCAAACTAACAGAAAGATCAAGTATTTGAGATCTAATAATGGTACATAGCACACAGATTCACAATTTCAAAAGCTCTGCGAGGAGCATGAGATTCAGAGACATTTTTCAGTACGCAAGATACCACAGCAAAATGGTGTGGCAGAAATGATGAGCATGTCCTTAACTGAAAGGGTAAGATGTTTGAGACTGAATGCAGAGCTTCCTAAGAGTTTTTAGGCAGACGCTATGAATATGACATGTTATCTCATCAATAGATTACATCAGCATCGTTAGGTGGCAAGGTTGCAGAAGAGGTATGAACATATAATCTAGTTAATTTTGATCATTTACGAATTTTTGATTGTCCTACTTATGTGCATGTACCTGGAGATGAAAGATCAAAACTTGAGGCAAAATCTAAGAAGTGCATCTTTCTGGGCTACAAAATAGTGTGAAAGGATACAAGTTTTGGAATCCGATTACAAAGAAGATGGTAATCAGTAGAGATGCACTTTTTGATGAACTGTCCATGTTGCAGCAGAATCAAGACAATGTGCAAGGGAACAGTTCCAGTTCAGATACAGTGCAGATGTATTTAGAATAACATCCTGAAACAACTGAGAGGGTTGAAGATTCAAATCTCAAATCTGGTGATTCTATTCCAGATGATCTGCAGAATTATAATCTAGCAGAGATAGACAAAAACGCACAAATATAAGACCTAGCTGATTGGGTTATGAAGATTTGGTCTCCTGTGCACTTCTCATCAGCCGTGATGATCCAACCACTTTTCGAGCTATCACCAGCCAGTATAAAGAGAAATGGATGGGTGCAATGGTTGAGGAGATAGAGTCTTTGCAGAAAAATCGCACATGAGAGCTAGTTCAACTTTCTGAGGGAAGGAAGACTATTGGGTGCAAGTGAGTGTACAAAAGAAAACCAGCAGTATCAAATAAAAGAAGGAGAAAAGTTCAAGACTCGACTAGTAACAAAGAGATTTTCACAGCAGAAGGGGATAGATTATGATGAATTTTTTTCTCATGTTATTAGACATACTTCAATCAGGATAGTGCTTGCATTAGTAGCTATTTGAGATTTGTATTTGAAGCAGATGAATGCTAAAATTATTTTTTACATGGTGATTTGGAGGAGCAGATTTACATAGAGCAGCCAGAAGGGTTTACTCAACCTAGACAAGAGCATCTGATTTGCAGATTAAAGAAATCGTTGTATGGATTGAAACAGTCTCCAAGACAATGATACAAGCAGTTTGACTCCTACATGATTCAGAGTGAGTACAAGCGATGTGAGTATGATTGTTGTGTTTATGTCAAAAGCATTGATGATCGTTCTACTATTTTTCTATTAGATGATATACTGATTGCTGCAAAAAATTTAAATAATGCCTCTGGTTTGAAAGCTTTACTCAGCCAAGAATTTGACATAAAAAACTTGGCTCCTACGAAGAAGATTCTTGAAATGGAGATTCATCGAGATAGAGACTCAAGAAGATTATGTTTATCTCAACGAGGCTATGTTGAGAAAGTGCTGGAAAAATTTAAAATGAGCAAAATAAAGCCTGTGAGCACTCTATTGGCAAATTATTTTAAACTTTCTCAGAACAATGTCCTAAGACAGATACAGAAATTGAAAGACAGATACAGAAATTATACAGAAATTGAAGACATGACAAAGGTTTCATATGTCAGTGCAGTTGGCTGCTTGATGTATGCAATGGTATGTACTCATCCTGATTTAGCTCATGTTGTTAGTCAAGTCTGCAAATACATGTCTAGATCAGGAATGCGATATTTGGAAGCAGTCAAATGGATTTTCAAGTATCTAAAGGGTACTGTAGGACATAGAATTATTTTGGGCAGTCAGCAGGACGATCCTTCAGTTGTGGGGTACGTTGATTCAGACTATGCAGGTGATTTTGATGGTAGAAGGTCTACAACTGGGTATGTGTTTTCTCTTGGTGGAAACCTATATATTGGAAATCAACAATTCAGTCTATTGCGGCATTATCTACAACCGAAGTTGAATACATGACAATAGCTGAAACTGTGAAAGAAGCCTTATAACTTGCTGGGCTAGTAAAAGAACTGGGCGTTGAACAATGTGGAGTTCAGTTGCATTGTGATAGTCAGAGTGTTATTTATTTGGTTAAATATCAGGTGTACCATGCGAGAACAAAGCACATTGATGTCATGTATCACAAGATCAGAGAATTGATTGTTTCTGGTGAGATACTGTTGCAGAAGGCTCATAATGATGAAAATGCAGCTGATATGTTGACCAAGTCAGTTACTATCAACAAGTTCTTGCATTGTTTGGACTTGTTGAATGTTTGGAGTTGCTAGAGAAGCATAGTCGCCCAACCCACTTCAGTGTGTAAGAAATTCAATGATGTATTTCTCCTAAGGGGCTGGATAATCTCCAAGGTGGAGATTTGTTAGGTATGGCTCATATACCATATAAGGGACAGATGCTGGAATAAAGCGGAGCGGAGCGGAAGAATCTGTCCAAATCGGGAGAGTTTCGTTATGTGGGTTGGGAGTGCGGGGGAAACATCTCACGGTAGGATACAGAGGTAATTTAAGAATTACATATTGTACTTCAGGGTTTTATCTAGGGTTCTATATAGGTCTGTTTGTAACCCTAGGCTATTCTATGTTGTATTTTATTATGTACTTTTTTTTGAGATTGAAAGGAAAGCCGCCGCTCTGCTCCCGAGGACGTAGGCATATTTGCCGAACCTCGTTAAATATTTGGGTTCTTCTGAATTTGTGTCGATTCCTATTTTTCTTTACCCTAATTTCTCAACACTGTTTTATGCTACGAGCATGTTTAAGCAGTTCATTTCATGAATTAGCATCATTTAGGCAGCTTTGAAGATGCTCGAAGAAATTTAAACTCCTTTCACGCATCATCGTATATGTTGCTTGTTGACTTCATCAAGCAACTCTTTCTAAGCATTTTCGGTGCTTTGAATGTAACGATGAAGTATGTTCTACGAAGAGGTGATCTTTCTGCTGACTTTGAGCATGATTGAGGCATCACCGCCGTCCGTTCTCATTATGTGCAATCCGTTCGACTTATGAAGTATATATACAGGTCAACTCATATATATTCAGAACCATTTTGAATTTGAAGGAATCTACCTCACTTTAAAGCAAAGTTGAAGATAGCAAATATCTTGGTAATTGGCGAGGATCAGAATTCAGAATCTCTTTTATATTAGCATTAAATAAACTGAATCTGAAGTTACCAAAATATATGTTAAAAAGCATCACCGAAATTTCTTTCCATCAGATTATTTTTATGTCGAAGTTGAAGATATCCAAACACATATTAAAAAGCTAAAGCACTCACACTGAAGTTGCCAACAAAATTTTTGGTTTTGATAGAATCAACCTCAGCCGCCCAAACTGAATTTCAAGGTTAAGGATGATCCAATATAGCCTTTCAAACACCACGAAATACAAATACTCAAACTGAAGTTATCCAAATAAATATACTAAAAAGCATATAAGCCAAATGGTTTACCCGTGGGCACGTTGGAGGCAACATTTGAAAGAAAAAGAATAACCAGAGCTAGAACTGCAACCCCTTCTATAGTGTCAATGCGTGCAAAGGGTTCCATGAACTCCCAAAGGGCACTTGGTAAGCCAGTTTTGTTGATTCCATCAACGGTTATAAACAGCCCGCAAAAGAATATCAACAAAGAATATGATACCTGATGTAAATTATGCACCTAAAATTAATCTCATATTTGTAAATCTGATTAATATTTACACTTAACATGGAAAGTGTATTTCACTTTTAAAAACATAGTGATGGTGTTATTTTTTATGTGATGTTAAACATTTGAGTGATATGCAAGTAAATATAAATGTTTAGATGTTAATTAATTAAATGCTTAAAATTAAGCGGTACGGATGCAAATGACAACTTTTCTTATTTTGTTTCTTTTGTTTTTAAAAATGTGTTTGTTTAGTGTGTTTTGTATATGTTTTAATTTTATATTTCTAAAAACTAATTATCATTTTTAAGAAAAAAAATACTCAAAACAACTTTCCCTTGTTTTGGGTGTTTTAAAAAACAATAATGCCAAACATGTTTTCTTTTAAATCAAAACATAAATGATAAAAAATAAAATTAAATAGAAAACATGAAATAAAAGTGATCCCAAACAGCCCAAAGAATACCTTCTCAAGACAAGGCCTTGCATCCTTGAAATCAAGCACAATCAAAGCTAGAGCAGCAGAAATAGCACTCCAGGACATGTTAAACCCCATTAGAAGAGATACGAGCATTCCTACTGTCACAATATAGACACATGAATTCCACAAAAGGTCCTTCCATCTTTGAATGGAGCAATCCTTGTCATTCAATGCCTGAGTGATACAACTACTCGACGCACAATTCACCCTGCTACTACTCCTCACATTTGCGCCTAATAGCATTTCATTTTCACTAATACTCGCTCTATTCCTTAGATTATCTCCACGCCCATACTCCTTGCATGATGAGCACTGAATAACAGCATCATTTCCGTCAAACAAATCTGGATGAGGCAAACAATTCAAGTGCGACATTGTTGCAGGAGAAAACCGGTGGAGAGTAACATCATCTTCAGGAATAATCTCAGCCACTGATTCCACCTCTTCAAATTTCTCAATCGACAGCAACTTGGAGAAGTAAATGAGGAGAATGGAAATGTTGGCAACAACACCAACCACCATTGCAGGAAGAATACCGAACAAGAACTTTTTAAAATTGATTTTGCTTCGAACTGCTATAACTAGGTTTTGAGGGTTACCTATTGGAGTCGTGGCTGATCCAATGTTTGCGCTGGATGCTAAGGCGAGCAGAAATGGCTTAGGAGGCAGATTGTTCTGACGAGAAACCTTTAGGATGAACTCGGTGAGAACAACACAGCAAGTGTCGTTGGTGAATAGGGCACTCGAAATAGCTGAAATAATGCATATTCGACAGAGCAAATCCTTACCACCTCTGCTTTTCCATGCGAGTAATTTGCTTAGATGTTTGAACATGTCCGCCCTTTCGAGGAAGACGCTGACTACCATTGTTCCGAAGAGGAGGCCGAGAATGGGGAGATCGATGGCAGCAAAAGCTTCATCTGGAGTTATAACCTGGAAATGGACCATAAGCATGGCGCCTAAAAGAGAGCCTGCTGTTCTTCCTATAGGAAGGAAGGGAACTGCGGGGAAAACAGCCAGAATCCAGAAAATGGCAAAGGCTATAGAACCTAAGATTAGCCTTGCAGTATGCGCCATAGCCATCATTTTTTACTTTACGATTGCAGAGAAAAAGAGTGTGCGGTTTCTTGAGGTTTCATGAAATCAGGAGGAAGACCTGCAACTGCATTCATTAACATGTCCACCCTCCTCTGCTGCATCTTCTCTTTCGATTGAAGAAGAAATTTCTTTTGCGCATTCTGAGTGTTTAGAAGATTGAAAAGGAGGGCGATCCAGAACTTGGGACATGGAAGACATGGAAGCATTTTGCGGATACGGTACAAAGTCCACGTCGGAATGGGATCCATTATTTTAAAAAATTAGGTTTTTAATAATTACGACAAGGCCCGCAATACGCACATGGAGAGCGACAACTTCGTACGGTTTTTGTCTGCAATTATTTTTTTTCCCTTAAAATTTTGAACGAACTTGTTAACAAATTCATGCATTAGAGCTGGAGTACCCATGGCCACCAAAAATCATTGCATGTCCTACTACACAGCAGATCCGATGTATTTAATTTTTTTTTAATAAAAAAATAAACATAATAAAATGGGGCCAACCAAAATACATCATCACTGTAGATCACCGTGATCTACGGTGTAGACCAGAGGTGTCTGTATACAATAATTTTTTCATGGCCACACGGCATCGTAGCGGTAGCCATCATTGATAGGAAATTTCAAGAATAATTTCCAATTTTACCATTTTACCTAGGCTTAAAATCAACTAAAAATTAAATAAAACAATAAAATAATAAGATTATACAACTTTTAAAACAGGAAAAAAAAATTATGAACCGAAGCACAATAAGCGAAAAAGCTCGAGAACGAAGAAAGAAACACTGAGCCGTACCATCAGAAATTACATAATAAAATTCAAAAAAATTTACAAAAAATTTACATCAGTTTCTTCTTATACACAAGAAAATTGACGGGCTTAACCCCACAATATTCCTTCTCTAATCCGATGAAATAATCACGCTCCTCTTCCATCCTTCTCATCTTCAGTGGGATGCTTGTCGAGAAATGCCAAATTAAGACCTACAGTTTACACCGCTCAATTTTTTTCTTAAAATAAAGTAGTGTGTGCCAACTGCTCTTAGCACATAAGCGCCCTGGACTTGGTGCATATGAGCCAAAGTCTCTGTATCGAACATTAGGCACCTATGCGCCAAAGTGGGCGCATAAGTGTCATGCCTACTATCACTCTCATGTTGAGTGGGTGCATATGCATCATGGTCGGCACCTATGAGGCGACCCCTCTGTACCCGACGACCATATAGTGGGCTCATATGTGTCCATAAACTGCTGCATATGCGCCAACTTCTCTGTTCTTCAGCTTCAAAACATGTTGGTACATATGCGCCAACAACCCGACTTGCTTTATTCCCACAAATCTGTCTCCACACATATAATCACGGTGGCAGCTGGTCGTGATGATGAAGATGAGCAACGAGCGAAAATCAATATTTTTAATATGTTTAAAATCCGTTCAAATCAAATAGATATTAAGAACATTGAAAATGAATGATAGGAAATTTCAAATACATCAACCAAAATACTCTACGTATCAGTCTAAAAAATTAAATCCTCTACATTTCAAATACTATACGCTCTAGATACAGCCATGTACACCATAGATGCCGGCAAAAGTGGGCTTAATACTATAACTTTCTTTAAAATGGAGGCAAGTATAGTTTGGATACAGAAATTAAGTTAAAAAAGAATCTACCAAATTTAGGTTTGTCCACCCTACCAAAATATTAATTGGTGGGTGATCCAAGTTTTTTTTTAATATAAAACAACCGATTGAATCATAGAGTTATTCTTTTGAAATTCTATTTTTTTTTTCTTTTTGGAGATTTGTATTTTCGCACATTCTTAAGGCCCGTTTTCTATTTGGTTTGGACGTTTTTTTAAAACAATGACTACTGCGTTTGAGTTTTTTATACTAAACGTAGGCCGCAGGTTAACCCCCGCGGTCGAACCGCGGGTTGCGTTTCAAGATAAGCAAAAGCTACCCTAAACAGACCATTAACCTCTTTATTATTATACAATCACATCTCCGCTAAAATAATGATACACTATTTTTTAGATTGTGGCAAAATTTTCTTTTTTAGGGTGAGCAAGATTTTTAAATATTTGATTTTATTTTTAAGTATTGAATAAGAAAATATTGAGGTGAGGCCAAATTACTAAATTATTTAAATAATATAAGAAAGATCTATTAAACTTAATTATTTATATAGAGAAATCTCAAATTTTAAGATGGTTGGATATACCTGATTCCACCAGTGATGAGACTTGTTAGAATGCTTAAATCAACCTCTTAAGATGTTGCATTGAATAAGTATGCATCTTTATTATATACTGTCTTGAATTTTTTTTAATTTATTTTATTTTAGAATAGTGTGGGCTTAAGCCAATTTCATTAAGGAAATCAATTACAAAAATGAGTGAAAAATGTCAGCATAATGGGCAAAGTTATTAAAGCATAAGAATTTCATTAGATAATAACGAACAAAAGTGTTTGGGGATAGGCAAAGTTATAAAATGTCAATATATGAATGAATCACATGTTGATTGTCCTATAACAACCATAGATTCCTAAGAAAATGTGTGATGTTCGAGAAAAGCTACCAAATGTATTTGGTTATGTCAGAAGCAAATCAAATAAAAAAGACTTGCATCACTCCCATAAGCTCGGACATAATAACGAAAGACCAATTTCAAATGTAGCAAGCCATTAACCATTGATTCAAGAATCATTGATCTTTTGGTAGTGGCCTCTGTAGAAGTAAGACACAATAAAAAACAAATTATCAAATAACGTAAATAAAAACAAAAATAATAAGTAGAGATGGCCTTTTAGTAGCATTATGCACAATAAAAGTAGAAGCTGTCAAAACATGCAACACAATAAGTTGAAAAGAAAAAAATTCCCATCAAAGAGCAATGTCTTTATCTTCCTTATAGAGACAAAAAGACTAAGAAATTAGTGAGTGTGAGTTTAAATCAACTTGTTACACATCTTGTAGCAACTTGAGATATGTAATCACGGTCTTTTAGATAATCAGTTGTTTTCAATCCAGTTAATAAGTCCATCGAACAAAAAATTGCAATGTTGATAGAGTTAACTTTTAACCAATCATCATTAAACAAATCCACTTTCTCCATATATATGTATATATATCTTTCACAATAGAGTTACAAAAAAGATGTTCCTCCTTTCAGCAAACAAAATATTGTCTTCTAGGCCGACTAAGCCAAATACAGCTTGAAATCATTAAGGATTAATCAACAAGAAAGCTTATGAAACAAGCTAGTTCCCTGCAACCAAAATAGAGATCGAGGGGCATTCTAGGATCTATTGAATATAGCAAAATAGCTAAAATAGATCAATCATCAAAACTTATATCCAATTTATATTTAGAAAAAAAGGGTCACGTTCTTTATCTTTTTCAGATGATGAAATGTTAGAATTGGGCTAATCCCATATGGAGCCATAAGTGCTTTACACTAGCAGGAAAATAGTGAGAAGTGATTATAAAGTTTCAAATGAATCTTGACATTACTCGTAAGATCAAGAACATAGATGGAATTCAAACTAATACCACCCTATCTCTATGAAGGATTGCCTACTTTCACAAGATAAAATAAAATTTTTCTAAAGTTTTCCCCACATAAGAGATTAAGAGGGGTGAGAGAAATAGTATTTAAGGATGTACGTAGGAATAGAGATACTAAAGTAAGAACATACAAAATATTAATGAATGATTTGATAAGTTGGAATCTAAAAATAATAGATAATAAATTAGCTTTTCATTCAACAAGCTAACTACAGTACAATTTTTTTCTTATATTCGCCTGGCGGGGAGGCATATGGCTAGGTATTTGAGGGTAAAATTTCCAATAGTAATTCCCAAATTAATATTGAATCCATTCCTTTATCATAGATTAGGAAAATATATAACTGATTTGTAAGGGTTAGTTAGTTTCTAGTCCTATCATGAAGTTAGAAATATTGGAACTTGATGCTTGAACCATGACTGGCAATTTGCTTGCAATGAGAAGGTTTGAGATTGAATTAAAGCCCTCAATGATCGAAGAATATTTGAGAACAATCACCTCATGATCTTGAAGGATGGAGAAAAAAATTTCATGGAAATGAAGCGAAAAAAAAGGAGACAAAGGGCACCTTTATCTTAATGAATTTATTGATTTAAGAAAGTATCATTAATGCATGATTTGATATAATTAATAAAAGTTTATAGGATTTCACTACCCAAAATAAGATTACATTTACACTCGAGAGGGTCACATTATGTTGGATGCACAATAAAAAACTATGAATAATTTCAAATGATTTCTCTTTTATATATAAAAGGTCATTAATATCATCAAAATATTATAAAACATAAGTAATCAGTATCCATTTACAGCATATCACAAGCCAAAATTTACGATACCAAAATCTTAAATAAATTTAAAAATCAAATATTAATTTAATTAATAATTGCAATATCAGACCATCACACCAACGCAAAATATAACACTAATTGTCCAGGACCAAACGGATTAACAAAATAACATCATTTGGCATTCAATCATCTTGGCTTCATGAGCAGAGAACTCCAGTAACAAAATTCACCTTTCCTACCCAGAAAGAATGAATAGAAATTTCTTTTTTTCAAGTAAAATAAGAGGCATTTAGCTATACAACCCAATTCTTATGCATTTCTGATACGTCACCAACAAATTTTTATCATTCATCACGAATCTCGAAGCAATATTTTGAACAAGAAATATTCAAATCTTTATAAAAAGTCATCAAAAGCTCCGATTTTAGTGAACTTATAGTCAAACTGACCGGCTCGATGAGAAAAACCCAATGATATAAATACTAGTCCAATCCGAATCAGATCAAACCCAAATCAAATTATCAATCCACACTTGAAGGATTTCCAGAGGCATTTAAAAGGTCAGACATATGTCAAATCTAGCGAAGTCATAGTTGAATCGAGCGTCTTGACAAGACGAATTCGACAAGCCTAAGATTGCTTAATTTCGACATAGTTAAGGCACTCAAATGTCCATCAAACATCATATGATCGAGAGAAGCTCTTCGGACCGTCTGATCAAAATGGTTTATATTCATGCATTATTTGCACCCAAACACTATAAATAGAGTCTCACCCCTCACATGAAGGGGAGGCTTGAGAAAGAACATGAGAATTTGAGAAAGACCTCGAGTTCAACATCATCCATAAATGACCTTGGT